GCGGCACGCTGCTGGCCCCTGCCAGGCGGCGGATCCCCAGGAGCAGAGCCCAGGCTGATAAGCCAGATTATCTCCGAGTGTTTTCAAACACGATGTCAGCTTGAAATGTCGATTAAACGGTTTATCTGCGTGGTCCGGCAGGGAGCGGAGTGTCTCTAAGTGGAGTTTCGGTTTTCCTCTCTTGGTGTTGTTGAGCACCCCGGTGTCAGCTGTGAGGGGAATGCCCTTACTATTTCTGTCTCTGTCCTTCAGATTCCCTGTTTGTGCGGTGGTGCCTCGTGTTTACTGTGCCGATGTTGTCCCAACAGCAAGAATTCAACAGTGACACGTCTTATCTATGCCTTCCTTCTCCTCCTTAGTACTGTTCTTGCCTGCATTATGCTGGCACCAGGGATGGAAGAGCAGCTGAAAAAGGTACGGAGGGGAAAACTCTTTCTAACTGTTTGTAAAACCATTACTTGTGCCGGTGACCCCTGATTCTCTTTACTTGGAATGGATTACCTGAGAGACACCCAAGTGGCAGACAAGGCACAAGTTAAGAGACTGAGTGTTCTGAAGGGCTTCTACCTGAAATAGCAAATTCAGTGAATGTAAATTCTTAAGTATGTGCCTTGTCTCTGAAACCTGAACAGATCTGGAGATTGCCAGTTGTTATCAGAGCCCTTCTGCTTTGGTATCTTAATCCTCCTGGATGATTTTAGTGATGACAGGGGGAAAGAAAGACAATAATAAGGTCTGTGCAGGCTGTCTGAGCACAAGGTCTTTTGTTATCAGATCTCCCAGAAGACAGCTAACTGAAAGCCTTAGCTGTTAAAGTGCTTAAAAAATGTAATTGCAAATGCAGATGTAAATTCACAACTAAATGTGTCTCTATTCAGATACCTGGATTTTGTGATGAGGGGCTTCATACTCGGATACCGTATATGGATGGCTTTGTCAGCTGCGATGTGTTTGTTGGGTACAGAGCTGTCTATCGAATCAGCTTTGCCATGGCAGTGTTCTTCTTTCTCCTCTCTCTGCTCATGATAGAAGTGAAAACAAGTAATGATCCAAGAGCCTCGGTACACAATGGGTATGTGTGTAAACCAACTGTCTGGTCTTCCTCCTGACCAGAGGTCAACTTGTTTCCTCTCTCAAGTTTCTTTGCTGAACAGAGTGGCAAATTGTTTATGCATACATTGACAGCCTTGAGTTTCTTTTGAACTGAATACAGAGTAACACTTTAGTCTCCTAAAAAATTTTGTATTTATGTAACATGTTCAATATGCTGATAATACTCTGAGGTACGGTAACCAAAGGGGCAATGCTCTGGGCACCCCTCTGCGTTTCCACAGAGATGCTAGATTTCAGCTACTTCATATCGCCATCCTTGTGCTGACTCTAGTGCTCATTGGGTCATTCACTATGCTAGTCTGACTCAGTAAGTCAGCAGAAACTGGTTTCTGATTCACTGATTTAACTGGGTTCGTCCTGGGCTAGATGATTGAATTATCATAGAGTCATTTAATTTGAAAGGACTCTTTGGAGATCATATAACCCCCTGGTTAGAGCAGGATGAATGTGGAGCAGGTTATTTGGGGTCTTGCCTAGTTGAGTTTTGAATGTCTCAAAGGATGGGGATGCTTTGACCTCTCTGGGCAACCTGTGCAATTTCTTGCAATATCTAATTGTAGTTTTTCTTTTTGCAACTTGCATGTGTTGCCTCTTGTCCTTCCACTGTGCACCTGCAAGAAGAATCTGGTTTTGTCTTCTTTACACCTTTCTTTTAGGCAGTTGAAAACGGCAATTAGATCTCACTTTTCCCTTTTCCAAGCTCAACAGCACAGAGTTAGCCTTCCTCCCTGCAAGGATGAGCTGCTGGCTCATGTTCTGTTTGCTGGAGCAGGAGCTCCCCTTTCAGCAAAGCTTTCTAGCCAGTCAGCCCCCAGTCTGTCCTGTTGCATGGGGGTTTTCAGTCCCAGGTGCAACGCTCTGTATTTGCCTTTGTTGAACTTTGAGGTTTCTGTCAGTCTGTGTCTGCAATGTATTGACTGTTGCCTCACCCCCTCCCCTTATTTGGTGAACATCTTTATCTGTAATCTCACTGAACACAACTTTTTGTCTTTAAACTTCTGTTAGAGACTCATCTATGTACAGCAAGCTGTTTCCAGATCATGTAAAACATGACTATTGTGTGCAGAGTAAGACCAGTATTTTCAACTTGTATCTTCTTTTAAAGGTTCTGGTTCTTCAAAATAGCCGCCATTGTGGCTATCATGGTTGGAGCGTTTTACATTCCTGAAGGGCCTTTCACAAGAGGTACAGTTAATACGTCATCATGGAATTCTGCTTAATAAACTCAAACCTCTTTCACAGACTTACCAGGCTATAGTTGCGATAGTGAAAGTTATCTTGTAGAAGAGACAGATTCTGTCCTGCTTCTTTAGAGTATCTTGGTTCATCCAGTATTTTGGTGACCAACTGAAGTTATGGCAATAAGCAATCTCTTTCCGAGTGCATAGTTGTTGAGTATTAATAGTTCGGTACTCCATGACACGATCACTACTGGGCTGAGTTTTCTGGCACTATTTAGATTAGAGGCAGCGCAGAACACTGACAAGTGCTAAATACTTCCCTAGAGTCTCTGAAAAATCTGTGCAAGAAACTTTTACAGTCTGGCCACATCACAGGAACTTGAAAGGGTGGATGATCCACAAAGAAATGTGGCATGATGGTGCTTTGTGTACATGAAGATGTCTTGTGTTGGATCTTGCATTCATTCTGAAAACATGTTGGGCTAAACATTCCCATCCTCAGCTTGACTAGCAGAGGCTGCACCCTTCAATAACTGGGACTCCTTGTGTGCTTCTGCAGGATGGAGGCCAAAGTGATTAACAGCATCTGCATTTCTAAATATAGTTTCAGATTTTTTCATTATTTGTCTGCAGTATAATTAGGAGCTATTTATTATTTTTAGACTAGGGTAGCATGCAAATGATGAAAGCTAACCCTGTTTTTTCTTGCTCCCTTTTCTAGCTTGGTTTGTTATTGGTATTTGTGGAGCTTTGTGCTTTATTCTTATCCAGTTGGTGCTTCTTGTGGACTTTGCTCACTCCTGGAATGAGAGCTGGGTTGAGAGAATGGAGGAGGGAAATACTAAATGTTGGTATGCAGGTAGGAATCTTAACCTGCAAAAGATTTGTTTCTGCTGGGCAGTACTCTGCAGAATATCTCTTAGTAGTTTGCAAACATATCCAGAATTACACCCCACAGTCTCTCTGAGTCACTACTGTGAAGTTTGGAATTAATAGCTGCAGTGTTGCCTTTTTCTCATCAAATAAAATGCAAAGTATTTTAGGCTTGTTATTAGCAGATCTGACAGTCATAATAAACAACACTTGCCCAGTTTGCAGGGTGAGTGCAGAGCCAGTAGCTTGGATCTCTTCAACTCTGACTTTGGTTTGCCACCTCCCCTACTGAGATCCTCAGGACGTCAGTTATGTCAATGCTAGTGGCTGCAGTACAACACAAAGCATGCCTCAGCACATGCTCCCGAGCTGACCACTAAATTACAAAGTGCTAATTGTTGTGGTTCTTTGCTTATAGCTATGAATGCTGCAACAGCATTTTGTAGCTTCTTATAAAGAACATAGCAGAATGGAAATGAAAATGAAAATGGGTGGCCTCTAGCATAGAAGGGGGAATTCAGGGCTTATAAATAGCCCATGAGAAGTGTGCAAAAAGTGCTCTTATTTTGACACCGTGGCTTGACATCAGTTAAACCAATTAAACTGTCGCTGAAAGGCAGGTTTTATTCCCCTGATAGCAGCATTGGCTTTCCTCTGAGCTATACTACTTAGTGAGCCAAAGCAGAAATTTAGCCCTACCTAATAAAAATGCATTCTGCTAGTCTAGTTTTCTGAACCAGACCTCCAAGTGAGGAAGAGGGACTGTCTCATTACAGCAGTAGCTGGTCATTAAATCACCTTAGATGTACTGTTAAACTACGTGTGTATTGTAACAGTTAATTTTTTTCCCTTCCAGCTCTGCTGTCCTGCACAAGCTTGTTCTACGCCTTGTCGCTGGTTTTTGTTGTTCTATTCTATGTTTTCTACACAAAGCCTGATGACTGCACTGAGAACAAGTTCTTCATAAGCATTAATATGATCCTATGTATTGCTGTCTCCATTGTTTCTGTCCTTCCAAAAGTTCAGGTATTATTTTTTCTCTAATGTTTTCTTCTGATGTACAAAGCAGTGAAATAAGAAAGATGTAGTACCAAGTCAGTCAGACATAAGAACTTTAAAATTTGGCTATCATCTTAGCTATGCTAGCTAGGAACATTTAAGGAAAAAAAAAAAATCATCTTGCTCTGAAACCAGTGCACTACATAGTGACATATTTCCTGAAGACAGGCTTTTTTTGGCTAACATAGTTTCGGACTTTGTTTCCATGTGGGGGACTGCTGGCATGGTTTTAGTGGTGAATGTTCTGGCAGAACGGAGAAATCCACTAGGGAAAAGCAAAATAAGCTGGTAATTTATTGGCTTAGTATTGTGGCTTTGAAATTATGGGTAAGAATGTTTAATATGAGAGAAAGGTTGCATGTTACTTGATTCTGAACTGGTATTACTCAAATAAATCACATGCTAGATTCATATCTACAGAACTGTTAAGCAAGTTGGGATTAACTCGGTAAGAACTGATAACTGGGTTTTGGGCACAGAAAAACTGAATTTGGTTTGCTTATTCCTTTTATGTTTGAGTTGCTTACTGCATAAATTGTATTAAGCTAAGGAGTTTCTTCCTGGCTTTTAAACATAGAACAAAGCCCAATGCATTTCTAAAAACCAAAGTTTTTCATGCTAATAATTTTTGAATCTGTGGCAGTAGGATAAAACTATGCAACTATAGGTAAAACTTGCCCTTTTGACCTTGGCTTGCTATTCTGTCTTTGAACAGGAACATCAGCCTCGCTCTGGCCTCCTCCAGTCCTCCATTATCACACTCTACACCATGTATCTCACTTGGTCAGCCATGTCCAATGAGCCTGGTAAGCAACAGGCTATCTTGAGAAACATATTTTGGTGTGAAAGCAGAAGCTGTTGGTGGGGCTCATAGTTACTACAGATCACTGTGTGTGGATTCCTGATCTGTCTACATAACACCTAGTGAGGCAGTAAAGCTGACTTTACTGAAACCATCAAGTTGCCTCTTTCTGGAACTAAAATGGGTTATTTGTGAGGGGAAAAAAAAAGTGTCAAGGCATTCTGATTTTATTTATTTATTATACCCTTGCCTAGCTCACAAGAAGGAAAAATATTCCGTGCCATTGCTGCCTCTGGGGAATCAAAGAGATCAGCAGTTAAAGGGAATGAAAAATTGCAAGCTTACCTGTGAGGGGGAAAAAAAAGTGTCAGGGCATTCTGATTTTATTTATTTATTTATTATACCCTATATTATAGCTCACAGCAAGGAAAAATATTCCATGCCATTGCTGCCTCTGGGGAATCAAAGAGATCAGCAGTTAAAGGGAATGAAAAATTGCAAGCTTACCTATCATCTTTTCTTAGCTAAATGCTGGCAAAGCTCACCTCTCTTTAATCTGCCTTGAAATCCCTTTCAGAACGAAATTGTAACCCAAGTTTGCTGAACATCATTACCCAGATAGCTGCACCCACAATTGTTCCAGCAAATACCACTGTTGTACCTGCTACGCAAGCTCCGCCAGCTCCACCCAAGTCCCTACAGTGGTGGGATGCCCAGAGTGTTGTTGGATTGGTTATCTTTGTCCTTTGCCTCTTGTATTCCAGGTAGGATCTGCACTGCTATCAAATTATAAACAATTGGGATTTGTCTGCCTTTTCTGTTTGAACCTGGGTCCAGTGAAAAATGTACCTGCATTTATTTGTAGCCCAAATATGGCTAATAAAACTGCGTTCTGTTTTGTGGGTGATAGGCTTTATTAGCCCAATTCAGATAACAGAACAAAATGTGTTACAAGACCTGGACTAGGAACACTGTTTAATTAGGTTAACAAAAGCTTGGATGAAAACAGATCTCTTTGAGGCGCTTCCTTGTGTTTCCAGATGGATTTAAAAAACATTATTTGCTAGTCCTAGCCATTCATTGTGGTTGTTGCTTGCCTTTATTAGCAAAAAATAGTTAACTGAAAAAGGAGTTTTTAACCATGTCTGTCTTTGGGTTACACTGCAGCATTCGCTCTTCAAGTAACAGCCAGGTGAACAAGCTGATACTCTCTGGGAGTGACAGTGCCATTCTGGAGGAGACTGTGGGAACAGGCAGTGGGACTGGAGAGGAAGGAGAAGTGCGCCGTGTCATGGATAATGAGAAGGATGGTGTTCAGTACAGCTACACCTTCTTTCACTTCATGCTCTTTCTTGCTTCTCTTTACATCATGATGACACTGACCAACTGGTACAGGTAAGAGCAAGAGAGGAAGTGATGGGTTATATGTGCCAGCCAGTGCTTCTAGGTGGACAGGCTACTCCTGCCAAGCTGGTTAAGGTGCTGTCCCCTATGCCAGCTTCATTAGAGTTGTGCCTTCTCAATTTTGTGTTGCTGAATTAAGATGTAAAAAGGCAAAATCAGCACCTGTAGTCCTAGTGGACTGCTTCACAGCTGCAAGGGCAGAAAGTGTGGTTACCATCCTTCAGGAAGGCTAGATATAAAATTGGTTTAAGGTGGCCTCCTGAGAAGTTTGTCAGAGGCCAGCCTAATGTTTGCAGCTATTCATCCTGGGAAAAATGTGCAGGGACAGCCATACATGCCCCTTAAACGGAGATATGAATTCCTAGATCTCTTGGGAGGTCTTCAATGTGTCCTCTGCTGCTGCAGCTTATAACTACTTTCCCTAGGACTGCCATATTGTATAAATTAGCAAATACACTTAGAGAGCAGCAGTCACCAGGAGTCTAGGGCATAGCTCACTCCAATATTTCCTTCAAGAACAGCACATCAACATACACGAGCAGGTTGATTTTGAAAACTGGGTACCAAGAACAACAGGCCTATGAAGGAGCCACAGGAAATTGCATTGGAGTGTCAAAATGATTGTCCCCTGAGAGGCAGCAAGGAATAGTGCAAGGTGCCTTCTATATCTATTAATTGACTTTTTTACTTTTTTAGCCCTGATGCAGATTTTAAAACAATGACGAGTAAGTGGCCAGCAGTGTGGATGAAGATCACCTCCAGCTGGGTTTGTCTCCTCCTCTACCTTTGGACCCTAGTGGCTCCTCTTGTCCTTACTAATAGGGACTTCAGTTAAATTGCTGCACCTGTCTGAGCCTAGAAAAGTGGGGAACTTTTTGCTGAAAGCCAAAATGTTCATGTATTGCTTTAGTTACACTGTCTATATTACTGTTTGTTGATATAAACATGCAGATGGATAGAAAGTTACATATTGCATAATGCTTGATGCAGGATCAAAATTATCAGTTATCTATTTTAACCTTCAGTCATGGTTATCTTATTACTGCATTTTTCAAATTCACTACAGCTGTGCTGTCAAAGCACAAAAGAAAATACCTGTTCTGTCCAATAGCCACAACCTTTGTATTGAATAGAAGTAACATTTAGCTAAATATGAAGTAATATATTTTAAAGAACACTTATATTCAGCATACTGCACTAACGCTTCAGTTCCTGGAAGTGTAAGCCATGCTGCTCAATTTCTACATTCCACTGCAAAAGTTAATTTAAATTATACTTACCTTCCTCTTTGGCAAAACCTCCCTTATTCCTTACCAAAAGAGCAGAACTTTAAGGTTGAAAAACTGGCTAACCAATTCCTTTCTAAGAAGCAATTTCTAGGGCAACTTCTTTTTTAGTATGTTTGCCAAAGATCAAGTGGTAAGTGTATGGCTAGCTTGAACAACTTTACGATGATGGTAGAAAGGTAGAGCTTCTAATTGATTTCACTTGTCTAATATGCTTATAAAAATAATGTACACAAAATTATTATTGGCACTAAGGCATTTGCACTGTAAACTCATTTGAATAAAGCAGAGCAACTACTGAAACTGTCCCAGCTCTGTTGAGAAGCATTAAGAAGCAGCAGTTATTCTCCAATGCAAAACACTGTCTGGTGATTGAAATGCTAATTAGCTGCTGCAGTGTCCAGTTGGATGTGACTATGTTTTATCCATGCAGCAAATAGTAAGTCACAATTATTTCTTTTGAAACAAACAGCATCTTCCATGTGATCCTCTGAATGTCAAATCCTATTCCTTGAAGTTGCTCAGGTACAGTTGTTAAGTAAAATTGAGTTCTGCAGTAGAAAGCAATGCCTTTTTCTAATCTAACTCTGTGGCAATTATAGTTAGTTGCACATGTGTTTAATAGGGAACTAAGTATATGTTGCTATTGACTTTTACAGTAAAATATCCCAACACGACACAAGGCAAACATATTTAAAGTATCAAATTAGCAGCTGTTACAATATGTTTAATCACCCAGTCATGCATCATAAAATTACACATTTTGACCACTCCATTTTATAAAATGCAATATAAAAATAAATTTTGTCAAAATAAGATGTACACTTAACCACCCAACACCTCTAGGCCCACATACAAGAAAAGGCAAAATTATTAGTTTGAATAACACTATGACTAACTCATGCCAAAATGAGATTTAACAAAAACAATACTTCACCCAGTTCCTGAAAATACCTCAGGGTTTGTAACACCCATTTGCAAGAGTATAAATTCAAGTACTTTTATGTACAGTATGCAGCTACCTTTTGTCCCACTTAATGCCAGAAGCCATGGCTGCCCAAAGCAGTTCAAGTATCTTTCTTATTACGTGTTGGATTTGGCAGGGATGGCTTATGTACTGCATGAGGCATATAACCTCTGGAAACAAAGTTATTTCAAGTGGAAAAAAGAACAGATCGGTTTCAGTGCTGTAAAAAAAAAAACAAAACCAAAACACCACAAAAAAGCCCCTAACATGTAAGCTTTTCTTATCTATTTTTTTAACTTGCAGATAAGGAGACTCTATACTTAAAACAAGTGTTTCTTTTACAAATACTGACATGATAAATTTTGGGAACAAACTGATTTCTTTGCTAGTAAGTGCTAAAGCTCAAAGAGCATTCTCAGCTCAGTAGTTAGTTAGGCACATACAAGACAGAGCTGTGCTTTCTATAAGACAAGCCAAGCACTGGTTACGAACCAAAAAGGGTTAGAGATGCAGCTCAATGAAGTTGCAACTCTTCTCTGTCTGAGTTCCAAAGCCAAGAAAGAGGAATGATGCTTGATAAAGATAAGCCTGGCTTAGTTCAAGCATCCTGACATCAACTGCCCAGCAGCCACCTTGTAAGAAAAAGAAGTTCTGGAGGCATAACACAGGCTTTTTTCAGCATTGATAAGGTAAGCCTTATCTATTATGTTTAAATCATATGTTTTATTCTTAGTTTGTCTGTGAGCAGAGGAGAAAAGGGGAGGGAGAGATGGATCTATTTTGCCTACAATTTAAGGCATGCAAGAGAATATAAAAGTCTGAAAAAGGGTTTGGTTTCTGTAGAGGTCCCTCAGCCTTCTGCTGAACACCACTAGTTTTTGGGGTTTTTTTCTTTTTGAAGGACACTAAATTGAATTTTGAATATTCAACCTCACTCTAATAGTTACATAAGGGAATCACAAGTAGCTGTTCTTATACGTTAACTGTCAAAATACCACCACTTCAAACTCTGCAGCACAATTAAGGAAAGAGTATCAAATACCAGTCATGCCTTCACTTCTAGGAAAAATGGTTTGGTTTTTTTGCTTGTTTTTTTTTTTTTTTTTAAATTGTACATTGTGGCTGGAATTAAGAGGCACTAAAACAACATAACCGCCACTCTCTATGTTCTGGCAGTTAAACAGTGTGGGCAGCCACTTACCTTTCTAAGTCCCAGTGCTGTGTGCTACTGTCTTGCTAGGTGGCAAAAAGAACTGAATTAATCTCTGCAAAACACACAGCACGTTCTGGTCAGAAATGAGGAAGTGGCTAGCAGTACTCTTTTACCTTATTTTCAGTAGATGAAAACGGTAGGGATTTTTTTTTAACCCCACACTAAAGGTAACTGCTGTCAAAGAGGAGTAAGAATTGGCTTATAAAGGTAGGAAAAAATCAGATACATTCAGTAAGGAAAATTAATCTCTTCCCACCTTTAATCTAAAACACTTCAAGTGATGAGTTCCCTGCTCCCACAAAGTCTGAACGACCACCCAGAAAAAAGCTTCATGGTTTACCCCTTTTCAAAACCCAGTTTCCTTTTACAACACTTGGATGACAGGTTTGGTATTTGCTACCCCCTAGTTCCAGGATGAGGTCTGCTGCCAGATCAGGAAGTCATTACAGTGGTAGAGGAGTCTCTTTTTGGCAGTGCAGTCATGCTGTAGGGGGACTGAGAGGAAGAAAGCCATTCAAAACAGAGTTTGGCACTTTGAAAAATGAATGTCTGAAACCCTCAAGATGCTTTAGTTTTATATTTACAGAAACACAACTGGTACCTATAATCACACTTGGCACTAAATAAAGATTTCACCCAGAGAAAGTGCTCCAGAGATAAGTCTCCAATTAGAAGGGATGTTCTTTTTCACCAAATAGTGAAATATTTCACCTTGAAGTAACAGGGTGTGCTTTCCTGGTCCTAGTAAGGTTTCCCATCACCACACTATTATAGTGCAGAAAAACGTGCAAAGAGCGTGCTGAGAGTTCAGTTCTAATTCAAGACCATTAAACGGATTGAACTTGGGGAGTGGGAACAGCTTATTTAGACATGGGTATCTTACCCTGATTTGACATCCGAGTTTTAGTTCTGTCTCTAGACAAAGACCTAGAAGCACAGGCATACAAGCTATGGGTAAATATTACAGAGATGATTAAAGTCTAACTTCATACAGGAACATGACAACCAAAGACAAAAGAGGTCAACAAAGTTGAAAACAAAGTTGTAACGTTTCACAAAAGAGCCAACAAGCAGAGTGAACAAAATGCTACAATACCAGGAAATTTAAGAATGTGCTTTCAAACAGCCTGTCTGCATTTGGTTTCACAGACTTAAGACTCAAATTCTGCCCAAAGTAACAAGCTAAAGAAGCACCTTGCTGTCTTGCATAAAGTATTGCCTTCCTATACAGCATACGCCAACTGCTACAAAGTTGCCTTACCAATTCTAGGTAAGAGTGAGTTACCCAATTCCTCATCACAATCAGATGAAGAAAAGAACAACTGACAATGTGGGAAGGTGGCTGACAACTTTTTCTTATTTGGTCCTGAACTTCATTATTTGAAGCTGTTATCTAATCAAAAGCCTTAGTACTTGATCTGAAAAACTTCCTATTTTCTGAAAATGAAGATTGCATCTGTTTATAATAAGCCTTGGCATAGATGTTGTAGTAGTTAATCCACTAGTTATTGTTCTTCCTACTGTGAGGATGTTTCAGAGATGATCTCCATACTGATATTCAGGGATAAGAAAATTTTGTTTTGTATTATTGAGACAAATATTCATTGAGATATTTCAGAAATGCCAACTCACAATCTGAACCAAGTGATAGAGGACAGGCCAAGTTAGACTTTCATGTTTTTATGCAATCTTCACTGACAGAACTATATTTTGCAGGGTTCAAAAGCAATCTTCTTGTCTTGGATTACTGGTGTTTGCAGAAGGGGAAGAGAACAGATGGTCACAAAGCTAGTAAATCATCATCACTTTTCATCTGTGTGGGGAGGGGATAAGAAACTATCAAGCTTACCATCCTGCAATATTTTTTTTCTGTATCATTAGAAAGAATAGGCCAGTTTGCATCATTCTCACAGAGGCTGATGAGCCTCAAATAATCTACGTAACTTGTGCTCTTTGCCTTTATCTTCCCCGAACTCTGCCCTGCCCCCATTGTGCCCTCTTCAGCTTCCTTTGGTTCTACAGTGTAAAGTGCCTCAGCGGTCTGTTCCTAAACTGCAGGTTTAGGAGTAAGGCAGAGTTCACAACATCACCTATCAGAACAGATCTTAACTACACTGGAAAACGTCCCTTCACTGGTTTGTTAATAACAGTAATAGAGCTGAGGTTTCATGCCTCTCAGAGAATCATCACACTGCTTTTCATCAGCATCCCCACTCACTAGCATGTCATGGGGAGAGCTGTCACATGGGAGAACCAGCTGTGAGAAATCATGCAAAAAGTCCTCTTCAGAGGCTAGCAGCAGCTCATTCCATGCAGAGATGTCCAGCTTCCCCGAAGTACCACCGTACTCTTCAGGAAGAATCACTGGAGGAATGTTTTGATGAAGGGAATTCAGATCACAGCCATGAAGAAAAAACTGAAGAAAGCAAAAGATAGCTTTAATAGTGCATATCAAACACTTTACAGCAAATACAGTAAACTAACAAGATTATTTTGAGTTAAAAAGCAGATTTCATAGTTGATGTCTTTATGGGCAAGTGGCAGCATACAATATTGGGCAGGTGCAGTTAGACACAATAGTGAAAGAAGTCTTGAGACAATCCAAGTCTCGCACAGCTTAAATCCCAGAAAGACAGACTTGACAGTT